GAATTCCAGTTGAGCTATTTCAAATCCTAAAAGATGATGCTGTGAAAGTGCTGCACTCAATATGCCAACAAATTCGGAAAACTCAGTAGTGGCCACAGGACTGGAAAAGGTCAGTTTTCATTCCAATCCCAAAGAAAGGCAATGCCAAAGAATGCTCAAACTACTGCACAATTGCACTCATCTCACACGCTAGTAAAGTAATGCTCAAAATTCTCCAAGCCAGGCTTCAGCAATATGTAAACCGTGAACTTCCAGATGTTCAAGCTGGATTTAGAAAAGGCAGAGGAAGCAGAGATCAAACTGCCAACATTCGCTGGATCATCGAAAAGCAAGAGAGTTCCAGAAAAACATCTGCTTTATTGACTATGCCAAAGCCTTTGACTGTGTGGACCACAACAAACTCTGGAAAATTCTGAAAGAGATGGGAATACCAGACCACCTGACCAGCCTCTTGAGAAATCTGTATGCAGGTCAGGAAGCTACAGTTAGAAGTGGACATAGAACAACAGACTGGTTCCAATAGGAAAAGGAGTACGCCAAGGCTGTGTATTGTCACCCTGCTTATTTAACTTATATGAGGTGTACATCATGAGAAACGCTGGGCTGGGTGAAGCACAAGCTGGAATCAAGGTTGCTGGGAGAAACATCAATAACCTCAGATATGCACATGACACCACCCTTGTGGCAAAAAGTGCAGAAGAATTAAAGAACCTCTTGATGAAAGTCAAAGAGGAGAGTGAAAAAGTTGGCTTGAGGCTCAACATTGAGAAAACTAAGACCATGGCATCCAGTCCCATCATTTCATGACAAATAGATGGGGACACAATGGAAACAGTGATAGACTTTATTGTTTTGGGCTCCAAAATCACTGCAGATGGTGACTGCAGCCATGAAATTAAAAGACACTTGCTTTTGAAAGAGAAGTTATTACCAACATAGTCAGCATATTAAAAAGCAGAGACATTACTTTGCCAACAAAGATCCATCTAGTCAAAGTTATGGTTTTTCCAGTAGTCATGTATTGATGTGAAAGCTGGACTATAAAGAAAGCTGAGTGCTGAAGAATTGATGCTTTTGAACTGTGGTGTTGGAGAAGACTCTTGAAGGTCCTTTGGATTGTAAGGAGATCAAACCAGTCCATCTTAAAGGAAATCAGTCCTGAATATTCATTGGAAGGACTGATGCTAAAGCTGAAACTCCAATACTTTGGCCACCTGATGCGAAGAACTGACTCCTTGGAAAAGACCCTGATTCTGGGAAAGACTGAAGGCAGGAGTAGGGGACGACAGAGGATGAGACAGTTGGATGGCATCACTGACTCAGTAGACATGAGTTTGAGTAAACTCTGGGAGTTGGCAATGGACAGGGAGGCCTGGTGTGCTGTATTCCATGGGGTCACAAAGAGTCGGACATGACTGAGCAACTGAACTAACTGAATTTCATCTAAATGTGAAAAACAATTTTTTTCTGTTGATATTTTCCTTACACAACTGAATCACACCAAGTAAGGGAAACTACCCAGTATTAATTCCAGTTAAACAAATGTTCAAGAAAGCATCCCTAGAGTCAGAATTCTTTCAGAGTAGCTGCAACTGTGCATCCCCTTCTGGAAAAGAAGTACAGACTTATCAAAAACTGCCAATAAGAAAAAGTTTGAAGCTCAAATTACACTATTACTAGATTTACTTCCATTCATGATAAAATATGAAAAAGGTGCTAATGTTTAGTATGAAACATGTTATTTACCAAAAATAAAAATTGTTTACTACTCTAAATACTCTACACTTTTTAACACATCTCATGCCCTCTCCATTTCCACGATGGGAGTTTAAGTGTACTAACAAGACCAAACAGAGGGCCAAGACTGGCATATGTTTCTTCTATTTTCAAATAGAAAAAGATATGGTAGACACAGACTTTTCCCTTAGGCTGAGAAGGATAAGTGCTAGAGGCGCCAGCAGGGCAGGTCAAAGGCCTCTGGCATAACAGAGGATGGGAGACAATACTGAGTCATCACCAGGGTAAAAGCCTTGTGCCCAGGCTTTCTGACTACGACAATGGGCATTTGGCTTTCATAGTGAAGGAGAAAATAAAACCACATCAAATAAATAAAACCACATCAAAGCCCCGCAACCTTCGGCCCAGAAGCTCGCTGCACACTGCACGTCCTCCAGGTCAGCCCGGACCTTGGAGGTCTCCCGCCTCCCCTCGGGGGCAGACACTCCGGGCACTGAGCGGGTGAGGGGTGGACAAAGGCGCGGGGAAAGCAATGGGCCGAGGCAGGGGAAGATGCAGGGCAGGGACTAGGGGTGCGGCCAGGACGGCAGACGCTGTGCTCCCTCAGCTGGTTCACTGGAGGGACCGGCTTTGGGCATCTAGAGAGGGCAGAGGCGGCTGGCCGCTCGATGCACGTGGGGGCGGTTCGGGGGCCCTTTCCACTAGTGAGACTCTGGCCCGGCCCTAAAGCGGAGGAGGCCGCAGAGGGGGCCGCTAGCCGCCAGCGGTAACGCCTCTCGTCGCACTTTCCGCCCCCGACCTGCCCCCGACCTCCCTCGGCTCGTCACTTACCTCTAGGCCGCAATGGCCCTCGCTTCGCCCCCGTCACCTGCAGAGCCCGGCACCACCCACGCCATGAAGCGGCCGCGACCAGACCCGCAAACCCAACCGCTGGGGTTCCAGCGCCTCGGGGCGGGGAACGCGGAGATCGACGCCGCCTGGCCAATCGCAGGCCAGCGGCGCAGCGGCGCAGCCAATGAACGACGAGCTCCTTTCGGGCTGCAGGGAGCGGGTGCTGTGAAGAGCGGCTACTCGGCCTAGCCTTTGCCGGTTTCTTCCCCGCCCCCCTCGAATTCTTTCTCAGGCCTGTCGCAGTGCAGCGTCCCCACCCTCCCAGCGTCCTGTCTCTTAGCAACCAGATGCCCTCCAGAGCCAGAACTCCACTCAGAATGATCGCCTCTGAGTCCAGAAGAAAGGGAAAAATAGGGGAGAAAGAACTCATAAAAGAATGAAGTTGTTGGTGGCTTTGATATACCCGCTTAGCTCAGGTAGAATGGGCAAACTGCATGATCTGAGGATGCAAGAAATATCTTGGATGAAGCGTGGTCTTCATCAGGAGGGGTCTCTTGAAAATTGTAAATAGCTTTGGGTTACTCCTTGAGGTTTTGTACATTAATAGGTTCAGGAAGGACGTTACTTAGATGACTACTACTGGGAACCTAGTCAGATGTATAAGGCCCAATCTTGTAGGGTAAATGCTACACATATCTTTTCTCTTTAAAAATTTTTTAAATTTTAGTTGATTTACAATGTTGTTAGCTTCTGCTGTACAGTGAAACGATTTACTTTTTTCCGTGTTATTTTCCGTTATAGTTTATTACAAGATGTTGAACATAATTTCCTATGCTATGCAGTAGGACTTTGTTGTTTATCCATTCAATATACAATAGTTTGTATCTGCTAATCCCAAACTCAGTCTAGCTTTCCTCCACCCTCTTCTACCCTTGGCAACCACAAATCTGTTGTGAGACTGTTTCGTTGATAAGTTCATTTACAGTATTTTTTTCTTCAGATTCCACATATAAGTGATAGCATATAGTGTTTGTCTTTCTCTCTCCAACTTACTTCATTTAGGTTGATAATCTCTAGGTCCATCCATGTTGCTGCAAATGGCATTATTTCATTATTTTTTATGGCTAAGTAGTATTTCATCACACACACACAGAAACCACATCTTTATTTATTCATATGTTGATGGACAGGTTATTTCCATGTCTTGTCTATTGTAAATAGCACTGTTATGAACATAAAAGAAGCCATTTTGGGCCTAAGCCATTTCATAATCCAAGTCTGGCTGCAATGCTTGCCCTTAAACAAGTCTCAGTAATTAATGATCTTAAGGGAACAAAGGGAAAGCAGAAATAGAGAAAAGGTAGTCAAGCAATAGCGCAGTGGTAAAGAAATTTTAGTTCCTCCTCAAGGGATATATATAATAAAATTATATTTTTGAGTTCTGCAGGAATTAAGGCCCCCATCCAGGTGAAGGATGGAATGATGATGTTGACCCTCCTGACTTCAATCAAATAAGACTCTGTTGACTTTTGCCCCAATTTTATGCTGAATTCTCTCTGCTCAAACCCCTTCATGAATATGCATATATCCTTAGCTTAATATTTACCTATTTGCTGTTCAGGGAGACGTCGCCTTGCTAAAGATCCCATGTTCTCCTTATGGCAACCCAGTTTTCAAGTAACACTTTCACACAAACTGAAACTCAGTTATAATAGTGATGAGCCAGCTTAAACTATGAAGACAAGAACCCACACAGGACAGATTGCAGAGCAGTAACAGAAAGAACCTGGGTTTTGAAGTTTACCTTGTGAAGCAAAGCTGCCTAACAGACCCTAGACTGCCTGCCTACCTCTGGACTGTTACATGAGGAAAAGGTTTGTCTTGCTTTAGCTACTGTAGTTTGTTTATTTTTTGGTGTGTTGTCTATTTGTTACAGAAGCTTAGTGTATTCCTAGAAGATAAGGTTCCTGGAAGTAGTGCACTGCAATAACAATATTAAGATACATAGGACACTGGTGGGTAGAAACAGATTGCAGGCTGGTGACTTTTCCCAAAGGTATTTTCACCCACACTAAAGACTGATTATCAAGCCCATGGCTCTGAGGGAAGTGGCTTAGAAAAGATTAGAATGTGAGTTTGTTGTCTGCCACTCCTTGGTTTTAGCAAGTTTTGACCAAAAGAAATGAAGTCAGTTAAGAACTAACCAATTGCAAGCAGAGATAGAAGAGAATAGAGTTCTACCACTGGGCTCCATCCATAACTGCTCCTGCTGCTGATCCACATGCTGTTGTGCTTCTCTGAGGGATCAACTTACATACTTATTAATAACGTCTGAAGTTTTTCCTCACGACTCTCCAGTCTTTTCTAAAACAATATACATTTACAGAATGACAGCTAGAGAAGATCCTTGAGAGAACTTCTTCTATCTTTTCATTTTAAGATCAAACAGAGAAAGTTTAAGTGACTTGTCCAAAGTCCAATAGCCACCTCATTAGGTTCAACAATCTTTGCCCAAGGAAGAATCATTGGCACTGTGCAGACGTTTCATCCTGAGCCCTTTTATATGGAACAGGCATATGACAGTCTCACTTAAGACTTCGATCCACTTCCTATCCTTCTCCAGTCTAAACCTTTTGTGTTCATAAGATAGCTATCCCTCTATTAGTTTTAGTACAGAGTAAAGTGATCTAGGAGCTTCCTAGGTAGCAGAGTAGTAAAGAATCTACCTGCCAATGAAGGAGATTTAGGAGACACGGGTTCGATCCCTGGGTTGAGAAGATCCCCTGGAGTAGGGAATAGCAACCCACTCCAGTATTCTCACCTGGCAAATTCCATGGACAGAGGAGCCTGATGGGCTACAGTCCATGGGGTTCACAGTCTGATATGATTGAACATATACACATAAGTTGCTTTAACAAAGAGACCCAAAATACAGAGAGACCCAAAATACAATCACTGAAACAGGCCTCTGAAATGGCTGTTCTTACTTGACTCATTCTTACTTAAACATCCTACAGAAGGAATGAGAGACAGGGTAAAGAATGCATGCCCAGTACTGTTAAAGGCAGGATCTGGAAGTCACATGCATAACTTTCACTTCTATCCCAGTGGCTACAATGTAACCACAAAGGAGGAGACTAGAAAAGGTAGAAACCATTTGATCAGCTACATGACCAACTAAAAGGTAGGAGTTCTATTTTTGAATTACAGGAGAGTATAAACACTGGTGGCCAGTGACCAGTCTCTACCCAACAGCCTGGTTTCTAGGATTATATGATACTCAGACTTCTATCACTCACATCACTAGAATAATTTATTTTTATTTTTTTGCTGTGCTACCCAATTTGCAGGAATCTTAATTCCCTGACCAGGGACCAAAACTGTGCCCTCTGCAGTGGAAGCACTGAGTTCTCACCACTGGATCACCAGGGAATTTTCCCTGAAATATTTTTAACTACAGTGAAATATGAACTGAAAAGGGACTTCATTAGCACTGCAAAAAACATACACATGGAAAAATGTTTATGGATAAAAGGCATAAAAAATGCAAATACCTTTCAGACTTCAGCTACCATCAAATATCACTGGAGAACAAAATTTAAAATTAAACAGGGACATCCTTGGTGGTCCAGTGGTTAAGAATCCGCCCTGCAATGCAGGCGATGTGGGCTTGATCCCTGGTCGAGGAACTAGGAACCTACATGCTGTAGGGCAACTAACCCCAAAGGCCACAACGAAGATCCCACATTTTACAGCTAAGTCCCGATGCAGCCAAATTATGTATTTTTTTTAAAAGAACTACTCTTAAAAAAAAATTAAACATAGCTCTCTTTATGACAAGGCAAAGGGTTGTATAAAACAATAAAAACAAAATTAATGTGGTAAAGTGAAAGTTGTCCATAAAAGCACGTTTCCTTCATCTGCTTTAAGGTCTTAAACAAAAAGGGTGCATTGGGGGCCATATTTACTTCCCCAAAATGTCCCATATCCTAGCATAGAGCTTTTTTTTTTTTTTCAAAACTCATGAAGTAGAGGTCCCTGTTCACAATAACCACTTAGATTCATATGCCACATGCTCAGCCTGCAAGCCCTCCATCTGTGTACATATACATACATAGTCCACACATATGTGCTATGTGGGCAGCTCAGTGCTCAACATCGTAGAAATCTTGACTGCTTATTCCCGAACAGTAACTTTTCCGCTTGCCCTTCAGTATCTGTGCTAGTAACAGGTAGAGATAATTTTCCCCTCTTCTAATGGGTAAAGAATCCACCTGCCAATGCAGGAGACCTGGGTCAGGAAGATCCCCTGGAGAAGGGAATGGCTACCCACTCTAGTATTCTTGCCTGGAGAATTCCATGGACAAAGGAGCCTGCGATCAGGCTACAGCCCATGGGGTCGCAAAGAGTTGGACACGACTGAGAAACTACTACTTCCACTTTTTTTCAGAGAACATCTCTGTTCCTATAGAGCACCATTTTACCTGTTCTCCTAGCAGATCCTTAGTCCTTAAAGACAGCTCCTGAGTCAAAACTGCATTTTGATAACATTGTTATTAAGAAGTACTTATCACTTTGGGCTTCCCTTGTAGCTCAGTTGGTAAAGAATCTGCCTGCAGTGTAGGACACCCAGGTTCGATCCCTGGGTTGGGAAGATCACCTGGAGAAGGAAATGGCAACCCACTTCAGTATCCTTGCCTGTAAAATCTCATGGACAGAGGAGCCTGGTGGTTGGGCTGCAGTCCATCAGGTCACAAAGAGTCGGGCACGACTGAGAGACTAACACTATCACCTTAGCAAGAGACCTTATTATATGCCAGGTACTTTGCTTAATGCAGAATATCCTTTGGACCTCTCAGCAACTAAATAGATATTATTTTGAACTTACTGAGCTTCAGATTGAGAAGTGCATTAAGCATTCATACTAAGAAATTAATTTTTGCTGGCTTTAAAAAAAATTGTTCTTTCACATACAAATGGAAAATGAGTAAAGGATTAAATGTTTAATCCTTAATATAATGGTTAAGAAGTGGGTTTTTCCAATCAATTTGAGTTTAGTTGCCTTATATAGGGATGAACAATTTTCAAAGAATTTCAAAGAATATTGCCATAGACTACACAAAATACATTTAACTTCACTATTAAAGAGGTATCTGATTTTTCCTTTAATTAGTCAGAAGGCCTTTAAGAATCTTCCTAAATCTTAAACTCTCCAGATGTTCTGACTGCGCTGGGTCTTCATTGCCGCTTAGGCTTTTCTCTAGTTGAAGTGATCAGGGGCTACTCTCCAGTTGCAGTGCATTGCTTCTCATTGCATCGCCTTCTCATGTGGGGGACCACGGGCTCTAGGGTAGGCCGGCTTCAGTAGTTGTGGCAGGCAGGCTCAGTAGTTGTGTCTTCTCGGCTCCAGAGCACAGGTTCAATAGTTGGAGCACACTACTGAGCTTAGTTGCTCTGCAGCATGAGAGATCTTCCTGGGTCAGGGATCAAACCGGTCCCCTATATTGGCAGGCGGATTCTTCACCACTGAGCCACCAGGAAGGCCCCTCAATGTTTATCTTAATTTAAGGACCCATCTGTAGCACATGAGAAAAATAAGATGAAATATACATGCTAGCTGGTTTATTAAGTTTACAATAGAAATTATGCTTTGTTTACTTTCCAGTATTAATATTTTTTCTTCATTCTGGTCTCTCGTGTTCCATTGGAGATATTGAGTTTCCCAGTTAACTTCAATGTAAGTTTTTATAAAGTAAAATATTAGTTTTATGAAAAAGTCTCAAAGAAAACAAAAACATAGATATAACTGATATTTCACAATGTAACATTTGAAGTAACTGTCTACAAGAGTCTGGAAATTGTAGGGGGCTTCTACTTTTGGCACTGTGGTGGGCTACACATGAGGTTTTCTTGTTTAACAAGAAAGATTCCGGCTCGGATATGCACATGAAAGCAGTACTGATCTTATATGAAGTAGGGGGGAGAGGCAAAATCAATCAAAATGGGCGGGAAACTCCAGGCAGAAGCAAGGGGTATGAGTGCCCCTGCCCAGAGAAACTTAGCTGTGAGGATTCTGAGCTTTGGGCTCAGAAGTAGAGTGAGGGTGAGGGGAAATGAACTACTCTCACTCAAGACCTTCAAGAAAGGGCTGAAATGGCCCCCAAATAATGATGCCTCTATACCAGCAGAAGCAGAAGTGAATTCTTTACAATTAAGCCCTGATCAGATTTGGCCTGCGGAATTTACAGATTAACAAGGAATGAATTCATAAAGGTTACCATAAATGTGAAGAGGCCAGATACTATGTGTGAGAGTCAGCACAAGCAACAAGCATTTTAACTTCGAAGGACTGGAGGATCTGGAGTTCTTGTCAACACTAACAGAGCATACTTGAACATGCAAATACTACATACATGAAAAATTAACCAGATTGCAGCACAAAGAGGTGAAAAATATGAAAGACAAAGACATGAAGGGTAGAATGAGGACTGAACATATGTCTAATATGAATTCTACAGAGGACAGAAGATAATTGTAAAATTTCCAGAATTGATTAAAGATGCATCCAAAGATCCACAGATCCTAAAATCAAATGTATGTTGTACAATAAATAAAATGAAGCTGCTGGCGGCAATTACAGTATCAATTCTAATTACGCCATCTAAAAAGCATATGTTATCTAAATGATTTGGAGTCTTTTGTCAGTGGTGTAGTTTCCAACTGAAGCTTAATAAAGCTGGCTTTAAACTAAGATTTCCTTAAGTATGCTAGGTTATGAATGTATTATTGGTGTTTAAAAATCAACCAAATTTAAACTACACAAAATTTAAATAATAAAGGGCATATAGTTTGATGTTTCTATGTATTTAAATCTTTATTACTGTCTATCAGTAGTATAAAGAACAAAACACTGATGAACTATAAATATCTAGGGATTGCTAGTAGTTATGAATTTAAGCCATTAATTTATCTCGAACTGATTTTGTTTACTATTAACATTACTGTTAATTTCATAACAGTCATTTATGCTCTTTTTAGAGTGAAACTTTTTGCCATTAATGAGAGTATTAGGAACAGGCAATTACTACTACAATTTATCCACTCACTCTTTCCATATAATTGAATGCCTAAATTGTCCAGGAACTGTTTTCAAGTATGGGGATGCAGGAGGATACATAATATCTGCTGCAAAGGGAAAAAAAAAAAAAAAAAAGCAGGAGGATAAGGGAATGCAGAGGGGGACAAAGGGTTGCAGGTTAAAATAGGTGACAAGGACAGGCTCACTGAGAAGACGACTTTTGGGCAATAACCAGAAAGGTACAGAGGACCATGAGGATATCCAAGAGAAAAGTGCTCCAGACACAAGAAAAACAATGTTCAAAGCTCCTATGGGAAACATGCCTGAAGTATTCAAATAACTACAAGTGTGGCCAATGTGACTCTTGGGAGGGAAGCAGAAGGCAAAGACTAGAGGGTCAGATAGCATAACACCGTGTGAACCAATATAAGGACTTTTGAGTTTTTACTGAGTCAAATATGAAGCCACTGAAGGGTTTTCAGCAGAGGAGTGTAATGATTAAGATTTTTTAAAAACAGGATCACTCTGTTCCACTCTTGACAACAGACTATAGGTCTGGTGAGGTAAAGGCAGGAGCAGAGCCAAAAGGCGATAATCTAGGCAAGCAATGATGCGGCTTAGACCAGACAGCAGGCAGTGGAGGATGGAGTACCTGAATGCAAAATCTATTTTAAAGTTAATACGAGTGGGATTTCCTGATAAATATGGGGTATTAATGAAAAAGAGAAACATAGGATTCCAAAATTTTTGGCCTAAGCAAAAAGAAAGATGGAGTTGTCATTTACTGACACAGAATGGAAGAGAAATAGGTTTTGAAAGAAAAATCAGGATTTTTAAGCATGCTAAACCTAAGATGCCTAGAAAATACCAAGTGGAGATAGTGAAGTGCAGGTAGATATATGATTTTGGAGTTCAGATAAAAGAAGAGATACAAACTCTAGAATCAAAACATATGGTATCATGTCAGTAGACTGGTTAAGCTCATCAGGGAAGTGAGTAAGTTTACAGTAGTGGTCCAAGGTCTAGACCCTGAGGCCATTCAATATTTAGAGGTAGGGGATATGAAGAGACATCAGCAATGAAGACTGAAAAAGAAGAGATTAGTGATAGTGCAGGGAAAGCAGAAGAGTATGGTGTCCTGGAAGCCAAGGTGGGGAAAAAAAAAAAAAGATTTTCAAGCAGGAGGAAATAATCATCTGTGCCCCTGTAAGTCAGGTAGAACAAAGACACAGAACTGGTCACTGGAAGCAGTGTAATGGTTACTAGTGACCTCAACAAGAGTTTCTTTGATGGGGGTGGTGATGGTGGGAAAAACCTCTTAATGAATTGAGTTCAACACAGAACAGGGGGAGGTCGGTGGGGTGGGCAGCACTATGGACAAGTCTGTCAAGGGTACATAAAACATGATTAGAGAAAACTAGTTTGTTTTCTAGTTAAATACAAGAGATTAATTATTTACCTTATTCTCTTCTCCCTTCAAAATCTCCCCCAAAATGACAATAAAAGAATGAGAGGTATTAAATCAAGTCAAAGCATAAAAGAGAAGACAACAATGAGACTTTTAGAAGGAGTAAAAAAGCAAATGAATGTGAGGTAACTGACTTAGCAGAGGTGATTATACCTAAGACTGGGATTCTGACAGCTGTTTACACTGCAGAACTCTTGAAAGGCCCAGCATGAAAGCATTAGGCACCACAACTTGTAGCCAGGTACAGTACACAGAAACGAGGCAAATAAAAAAGGCAATGGCAATACCAGGAAAACCAGAAAGTTATATGTGAAATGAACAACAGGGAAGAAAGAAATAATATTTACACAGTCACAATAATGCAAACATTTTCAGTGACGTGACTAAAAATTAGACCACAAGGAGATCAAAAGGAGATCAAACCAGTCAATCCTAAAGGAAACCAGTCCTGAATATTCATTGGAAGGACTGACACTGAAGCTGAAGCTTCAATACTCTGGTCAGCTGATGAGAAGAACTGACTCACTGGAAAAGAACCTGATGCTGGGAAAGATTGAAGGCAGGAGGAGAAGGGGACGAGAGAGAATGTGATGGTTGGATGGCATCACCGACTTGATGGACATGAGTTTGAGCAAGCTCCAGGAGCTGGTGATGGACAGGGAAGTCTAGCGTGCTACATTCCATAGGGTCGCAAAGAGTCGGATATGACTGAGCAACTGAACAGAACTGACTAAAAATTAAAATAATATTAGGAAGAGGGGTGAGAGGAAGTATGGGATAATAGTATAAGGTAGTCAAATCCTCCATGCAGGGTGGAAAGGAGAGGGTAATAGATAACCTCTTATGTTGGTAAGTCAAAATAGCAAGGTGAGCACATTATTACAAGTAAGAAGGTAAAAACAATAGCATGGAGTTAAACACAATTGATTCTGGGATCTGGACTTTGGAGTGAGGCAAGGAACTGCTCTTATTTCCTTATGTGTTTTTAAAACCAGGTGATTATACTAGTTTGATGATTAAACACATAAATGAATAGATAAAATGTATACAGGAAATAAATAGTAACCTCAGACAAGTTATTTGTTCAATTAGCAAATATTCAAAATGAAAAATTAACTGGGATAAACACTCTAAGTGATATCAACATGGATGAAGAAGAGGAGCAGAGAGACAACAGGTAAAGTGTCTGGGGAAAGGAGGGAGAATGACAATGTGTCAATACTTTTGTGTTACTGTAAGACTCCAATGTTGATAACTTTAAATACTGATAGAGAAAGGTAATCATAAATATGGGTTAGATGTAACCACAATGAGAATAAAAATAGAATGTATAGCTTCCAAACCTGCAGAAGAAAATCTGATCCATTAAAAAGCACAACAAAAACAGAAAGCATGCTAAGTACAAAACTTATAAGGTAGCAAAAATAAATAAAATAACTGACAAAACCAAGATAATATATCAACAATTGGAGATTTTTAAATATATTTTTCTTAGAAACAGCAAAGAGACCTCCCCTAAGCAACTATAAATTCAAAATACACATTCACTTTTTACACACTGTTCAATTTACCATAATTCCCTACTCTCTGTTTTTACATAGCAGTATTTCTCTATAACAACACTGGTGCCTTTCTCCTTCCCTCTCTCTTACCAGCAGCTTCTTAGGTGAGGACTGATTTAGCTGAATGGTGAGTTTGGAAGGAGAAACCATACACATGCAGTTTTCCACTCTCTCATTGGAGCTGCCTACCTACCTAAAGTTGAAGAGCTTTCTGGTCTGTTTCCCTGACCATTCTGTAAGTTTGGTGGGTCACTCTGCCTGAGACTGGATAGAATGCTTAAATCAGGGAAATATTAGCAAATCCTATGTCATGCCCCATGAACTGGCTTTATCACAAAGTTCACTGACAACATGCCCTGCCTGTTTGCTCAAAGCCTTCAATCAGCTGTTCAGCCTCTTATTCTTAAACATAAGCAGACAACCAAAGTTCAGCAGAAACCTGAGAGAAAATCTTTATTGTGATAGAGATAAAACATAAATACACACACAGTAATACGGGGGGAAAAGACTACGTAGGAAAATAGAAACCTGAAAACAAAGTAACCTACAATTATTAATATCCTCAGATAGATCCTACAAGCTTCTAGAGAGGAAAACAAACAAGAACAAAACAGGGCACATATGAAGGAACAAGAATCAGAACAGCTTCAAGCCTTCTCAGTGATCACAATGGAAGCTGGAGACAACAGAGAAATCCCTTCAAGTTTTTAATGGAAAACAACAACCAGCTTGGAATTTTATATCATACTATTATTTAAACTGAGAGCAGAATTAAAGACAATTTTCAGACATTCAAGGACCCATACTTCATCTCCCATAGAGCCTTCTCAGTGACAATGCCTGGGTGAGCCTGACCTAACTTACTAGCTGTACTTGGCTTGCTGATGGTCTAGCTCTTTCCTTCTGCTCCCTGGATCTTTTAAGAACACACAAATGTTCTGCTTTGACCTACTCCTGAGTGCTGAAGGATAGCCACCAGAAGCTTAAAAATGGAAAAGCCTAAGCAGCCCAATCCCCCTGATTGTGTCACAGGCAGGTATCTAGTTCTAGGTGCTGGCACATCTTTCAAAATATTGGGTTGGCCAGAAAGTTGGTTCAGGTTTTTCTGTACTATTGTATGGAAAAATCAAACGATCTTTCCCACCAACCCAGTACATAAAATGTGGATAACCCTAGGTTTCCCAGTATAAGCTCAATGACTTTCTCCAGAAAAGGCTTTTGTAAAGTATCAGAGAAAATGAAGCCAGACCATGACTCAGAGCTCGTTTTCAATTTATCTTCTTCCAAGACACCTCATCAAATAGTGGCAATTCTGCTTTCTGAACACACAGTTACATTTCTGCATAATACCCCACTTTTAGTCATCTTCTATACTCATTTATGGGCTTCCCTTGCAGCTCAGTTGGTAAAGAATCTCCTTGCAATGCAGGAGACCGGGTTTCATTCCTGGGTTGGGAAGATCTCCTGGAGAAGGAAATGGCAACCCACTCTAGTATTCTTGCCTGGAGAATCCCATGGACAGAGGAGCCTGGTGGGTTCCCAGGCCATGGAGTTGCAAGAGTCGGACACAACTTAGCAACTAAACCATCATACTCATTTATATTTGTATTTTTGAGAAATCATTTCATTAAAAAATAACATCAAGTAGCAATGCAAGAATAGCTCAGTATCAGACAATCAATGTTATTCTCTATATTACTATTACTAAAGGTGAAAAATTAAAAAAAAAAAACCTGAACAAAGGCATATATAAATTATCAATAAACAGGAACTTCCTTTGAAAGAGACTAACTAGAATAAAACTCACAGCAGACATAGCACTTAATAGAGCAAGTTTAGAATCTGAAGTAGAAATTTGATAAAAATGCCTGCTACCACAGCACTGTCAAATATAGACTGGCAACCTGGCCAAAACAGTCAAAATGAAAGAAAAGTAAAAGGCCTTTCAGGAAGAAATAAAATTCATTATTTGCATTTCACAGACAACCAAAGAGAATCAATAACTTTAGAACTAAAAAGCATTCATCAAAGCTACAAACACAAGATTAACATACTTTAATTCTAAAGTAATCTGCACGAATAGCCAAAGTAATCTTGAGAAAGAAGAATGGAACTGGAGGACTCAACCCGCCTGACTTCAGGCTCCACTACAAAGCCACAGTCATCAAGACAGTATGGTACTGGCACAAAGACAGAAAAATAGATCAATGGAACAGAATAGAAAGCCCAGAGATAAATCCATGAACCTATGGACACCTTATCTTCGACAAAGGAGGCAAGGATATACAATGGAAAAAAGACAACCTCTTTAACAAGTGGTGCTGGGAAAACTGGTCAACCACCTGTAAAAGAATGAAACTAGAACACTTTCTAACACCATACACAAAAATAAACTCAAAATGGATTAAAGATCTAAATGTAAGACCAGAAACTA